ATATATTTGAGTTCTAAATGAGATCGCTTTAAAATCTACGAGAGTTAAAACAAATTATTTAAGAGATGATGTCATGATTTGAGTTTTAATGTAGAACAGACACAGTCGACTTTTTGTGCATCGATGAGAAAATATTTGAAGTGTTGTAATAAAAGCATTCCTCTAATAAAACGATGACATCATGAATCAGACAGCCAGAGGTCACGGTGAGTGTTTTATGTACTTCTGTATAAACTGTCTTCTTCCTTCCCGTCCCGAACTCTGTGTTTGGTGAAGGAGGCCCCTGGGTTTCCTTCCCAGCGCGTCTGGGTCGGGGTGGAGCTCCTGGAGGATCGTGGTTTCCTGCTGGAGTTATTTTTGAAGCACGCTTTCATCCCAAAACAGCGTCTGAGTGAGCAGAGTGTCTGTTAGCATTTAGTGACCTCACGTCTGCAGCCACAAACACACAAGCATGCTTCAATGCTCAGTTTCTCTGCAGGCACTGCAGGAAGAACGCAGAGCTTTGACGAGGAAGTTTGAACTCTAGAAGTCAAAGTCTGCATTTGAAATCTTATTTATAGAAACTAGAACAGTGGAGTATCACATTAAAGCTTTATGTCCCTCACGCTCTTCCTTATTCTACAATTCACCTAGCAGAGACTTTAATCCAAAGCGACGAAACTAGCATGATTTTGACAGTAGCATTCCCTCAGTGCTCCATCTGCACCCGCCCCCTCCCCTCTGTGTTCCCTCATAAGCCACGCCCCCTCACTCACACGCACGAGCACCGTTGCTCCAGAAGTGGACCTCAGCTCATCTCTTGCATTGTGTAGAAACTACGTCGTCTCATGTCTCATTCAGCGGTAAGAGAACTCACAGTATAAACTCCTAAAGTCATCGGTGACGAGCTTTGAGTGTGAGCTAGAGCACGCAAGAGGTAGAGAGCGAGCAGGGAGACAGGGAGGCGGGTGATTGGTTCATCAGATTGGTACCTCGTGGCAGACATTTGTTGAAGTTTTTACAGACTTAAAACTGCTACAGATGATGGATTTTCTTTGTTCCTTTTTCAGAGAACATGAGTTATCAATTTCTGTCAGGACCTAAAGACAATTTCAATCAAAATCTGAAAAAGTGGATCTGGAGGAAATTACCAACCCTGACTTTAATTAACTTGATTTTTGCAGTTTTGCAACCAGCTGCGTACGTATCAGGCATCTTTCTGTCTTTCTTGGACAGATGTTGAAGTTCATCTTTATTTTTTGTGTCTGCAAATGAATCAACACTAAATGCACAAAGCGGCCTGTAATCTTGAAAACATGCAGCTACTCCAGGTGAGAAGTGGGACTTAAATGCAGGGATTAGCTTTTATTGGAAGCTATACGGTACATGGGTTTGGTATACACCGATCAAACAGAGCTGCAAGTGTCCGTGCTGAAGCTGCAGCACATGTATAACAATGAGATAAATTTACACTCAGACTTGATGTAAACTTACATCTACAGAAAATATGTTTGACGGATCTCCGCTGCTTTCTTTCTTTCTTTTAATAACACCTCTCATCCATCCAGCTGCTTCCTCCTCTTCCTCTCATTCAGCCACACGGCCGTCAGTGCATCATGCGTGACTTATATCAACAGAATAAAGACGTTTATTATCGACTGCCGCCGTTTATTATCATGTAATCATTATTAAACGTAATGTGAAGTGTGTGTCGTATTCCTGAAACAGAGGAAGAACAATTATGTCTAAAATCCTGAACAAAGGGACCAGATGAGCAATTAGGAGAGCCTTGACATGGATCCAAGCGTGTGTGTGTGTGTGTGTGTGTGTGTGTGTGTGTGTGTGTGTGTGTGTTTGTTTGTGTTTGACAGGCAGCACCTGGCAGTGTTTTTTTGCATGAGGGTCTGCAGCTGGCGTTACTGGCCCTGAGCCTCAGCTGACTACTTTGACTGTGTGTGAGAGAGTGTGTGTGTGTGCGCGTGCGTGTGTGTGTGTGTGTGTGTGCACGCCTATATGTCTGTATTTATGAGGGAAACAGGGCAGCAACACTTACAGATTCCTTTGCAAACTGTTCTGACATTATTCTCTTTCAGATGGCGTGCAGTGTGTGATGGTGGCGGCTGCACTCTCTGTGATAACGGCGAGTTTTCAGTATTTATAACGGTGTGTTGGTCGCACTAGTGTATAAGACGCAGCCATTTTTTTAGGTGAAAAAATAGGTATTAAAAGTTCGTCCTATACACTGAAATTTTGCGGCAGTCTGATTTAATATCATAAAAGTTTGCCTCCTGTAAAGTTGGACATTTTATCATTGAGCTCTATGGGGACTGACTTTCGGAAAATGCCTCTAGTGGACACTCGAGGAGCTTCTGACATTTCCACATTTGATTCATTTTTTTCATGGTGTGATCCATTTGACTTTGGAAGTCGGAAATTCTGAGTTACCGGTCTGAAATATCATCAGGAATTCCCCCCTGAAGTTCATTTAAAAGGGGAGCAGGATGATGATAGGCTGACAATGATGGAGGAAGGAACGCCATGCAATTCTGTTAGATGAGTACCGCTGACGAGACAGCTGATTAGCTAATGACAGCGCCAGAAAATGGCAGCTTGAGAATGGCACGCGGAAATGTGAGAAGAGGGATGAATCAGAGATCGACCCGAGCGTGAAGGAAACCATATTTAGTCTTCCTGACTGGACTTAGGCTCAGGTCATCGAGAAAAAAATGGTCAGAAACCAGTGATGTCAAAATGAAAACGAGACCTTACAGGTAGTTTAAGCGTTGATAAAGTTAACCTGCAGGAAACAGCAACAGGTCCAGGTCTTTCAGAATCTTAAACACTTGGACACTTCTGTGCATCAAGCCATCACTAATGAGGGACTGTACTTGGCTGCCTGCTGTTCTTACTTCCTCCACATTGTGCTCGTAATGGTCTTAAGTGGAAACCAGTGAGTGAGAGATGTCAGAGGTCAGCGGTATAAGGGCGTGTGTGTGTGTGTGTGTGTGTGTGTGTGTGTGTTTGTGTGTGTGTGTGTGTGGGGGGGGGGGTCACAGGTCGAGCTCACTGTTTGATGCCACATGGTTCGGGTGTTGTTACTGATTTATGAGATAACCTGAGAACAGACAGGAGGGTTTAACTTACAAGGAACACAAGTGAGGAGAGTAAATCCAGACTGTGCTGATAAACAATCACTGATTGAATTAATATAATGATGTAAGTGAGGAGGAGGAGGGGGGGCAAAGAAGGAGTCCATTGTTTGGGAGACATGATTTTGATTTAGGATTTCCATGCCGTCAGATTGTTTAGAAACACAAAAAGTAAGAAAAAAACAAAAACAAATAAAGCTGGTGTTGTTAAAAGTAAAATAAAATAAATTCTGTATCCACAAAAAGTAACTGCTGGAGAAGGTTTTTCAAGGGACCTGGTTTTATTAAAGGTCCAATCAGTGAGATGTGTAGTGAGTGAAATTATCATTATTTTTTGGGATAAAAGCGTCTCCTAAGTGAATTGTAACATTGTAACAAACCAATGCGATGGAAGCGGGCAAGAGAACTGGTTCAGATAGAAGTGATTGTACCCGACCTAAAAAAGCCTCTGCATGTTTCTAATAAGCTCCACGAGCAGAAACGTGCTCAAACTAGGATCAATATTGGAGATGCTTTTGAAAAATGGAGAGAGGTTAGAACGCAGAAAGGTTTACAGACCGATGCAGAGCTGGCTAAACACTGAAGCTACAGTGTCCACTACATGGTGACCTGTATGCACGTTGACTCTAGAGAAGAGGGGGCGGGTGCAGCCAGCCTTTGTTGGTAAAATCAGAAAACGCTGATATGACAGGGGCCGCCCTGTGAATTTGCTGAATGGACTCTTTAAAGCTGTAGCTACTGAAATATACACTGACAGGGAACACTTTAACTTTGTTCTCACCTTTTATAGCTTTAATATCGGATTAAAACGTCTGTATTCAAAGTTTTTTTTACCCTCCTTTTCATCAAACACAGCTATAAAAGTACTCTGAGTTATAAAACAAACACTCAAACCTTATTTCTCTCTGCTACTGTATGATAATATTTGCGTTTCGCTTTACTCGCTCTGAGACCGGATTTTACACACAGATGTGACTTCAAAATAAAAGAGTGAACAAAGCCCTAAGTTATATATGCACTATCTGAGTGAGAGTCGTGGATTCGCTGTTTTATTTACAGGCTTTCAGATGAATTAATGTTTTACTTTCACACATAATAGATCAAATGTTGTTCAAATATTGATTTCTAGTCGGAAGGTGTGGTTTGAAGTTCTGTCTTATTGACGCCTGAACCTGTTTTACATAACATACTCCGTTAGGCAGCCCTTTAACTGCACAGCAAAGTTAAATATACAGGTCTATTTTTTTGTGTGTTTTTAAACTGTACATAGGTTTCTATTCTTATTCCTGTACGGGTTATGTAAATGTTCTTGGTAAAGGTCTATAACGGTTTGTACCGTTTAATTTTGATCTATGTAGGGTCTTCTTTAACTCTTGATCGGGTTAATGTAGACTATATGCTACACATAAGAGGGCGGAATATGGGTGTAGATGTAAAAAAAAAAAAAAAAAAAAGTTTTATGTAATGCTTTTGGGAGCTGCTACAGGATGCCTTGAATTTTCGTCTTGATCAATAAAGTATCTATCTATCAAAATACTTTAAAAAACACTTTTTTAAAATCTACTAAGTGAAAAACCCTTTTTTAAATATTCAAAACTATCCCACTGGGTTTACCCCTTTGACAAACAAAAGCATTACTTTAGCATGCATAACTTAAACTAAAGTAATGTGAATACTTAAATACCGACTGAATTATCTGCATTCAATTTAGACGAAGCGTTTGAGTTTTAGCCATAGACTGTAAATATTAGTTTATTATTTGGTTTTAGCTGTCCGTTCTAGTGTTTTATTTTTGAAATTCCAAGCGGAAGTAGTATTGTCGCCACTGGCTTGATCGTGTGCTAAAGTTTTTTCCTCCAGATAACGCGCTCCTCCTCTCCACGTTTCAGACCTGCAGCCACATCAGCGGGACACTTTCCCAACAAACGACCTCTCCGGTAAACCCCCTTCTCTTCGTTACCCGGGAGGGGTTTTTCCTCCTGTTTCCGTTAAACCGTTGATTTATCCGTGACCCGCTCGTGGTGGGGGGGGGGGATTATTAACCGGGAGCACGCGCAGGGATGGAGCGTTCCCGTTAAAGTTGTGAGGCTCGAGAGAAGCTGAATCAAAGCGGCATCCTCCGGGGCTCTCACACCGCCACCACCGTCCCCCCCCGCCTCTGACGCCATGGGCTGCGGGTTGAGGAAACTGGAGGACCCGGAGGACAGCAGCCCCGGGAAAATCTACTCCACCTTAAAGAGACCCCAGGTGGAGACCAAAACCGAGACCGTGTACGAGTACGTGCTGCTGGACTTCAGCCTGGAAGGTAAGAGGAGACTTTTAACGATTAACATTATTTGTAAAGATGACAGAGAGTCTAAATGTTTTCAAGTGGCAACTTTAAGGCATTATTATGAAATAAGTCAGAAGTTACATGTGTGTTTTGATTCAGTTAACTTTGTTCTGCGCATGCGTAGCACCGGCATTTAGGACATTTATAATGAACTTAAAGGAGCAATATGTAACTCTGACCCGATGCAGTCCAGAAGTCCAGATTCTAAACATTGTAGAGAGCTGCACACCCCCCCCCCCCTCTAGAGTTGTTGATCACGCAGGTTGCCATGTGGTGGACACTGAAGCTTCAGTGTTTAGCCAGCTCTGCATCGGTCTGTAAACCTTTCTGCGTTCTAACCTCTCTCCATTTTTCAAAAGCATCTCCAATATTGATCCTAGTTTGAGCACGTTTCTGCTCGTGGAGCTTATTAGAAACATGCAGAGGCTTTTTAGGTCGGGTACAATCACTTCTATCTGAACCAGTTCTCTCGCCCGCTTCCATCGCTGCAACACCTGTTGACCTGATAACTGCTCTCATATCTGGCAAACTGAGGGGCGTCCAAAACGGCCGTGTGGGGGTGCCTTAAAACCGCCTTCCTTCTCTGGTCCAAACAAATCCAGACCATTTTCTGCATGGACATTGGAACATTGTAAAAAATAAAACAAGGAAAATGATTGTTGCATCTGCATGTTGCATTGATGACTTCACATTGTCCCTGTGACGGGGATCCATCGGCACCGCACTGATTTAAAGAAATGGAGCTAAACACAAAGCGAGCCCTTCAGTCGGCCCCTCAACAAGTATCATTATTGTATTTAGCATGTGAAGGGGTTTCTTCTTCTACACATTCCTCTCTGTTTATGTGGCTGTAAAAAGGCCGTAAACAGCACACGCGCCTGTTTATGGTGCTTTTATTTTGAAAAGAGAAAGACTTAATCATTCACACAGGGGCTGTATATCCTGTGACGCACGTATTTAAAATGACATAATAGTGGCTACACAGACAGACACACTGTGAGTAACATGTGGTTACAGATCTCACTCTGTAAGTTTCAATAACATCGTGTTTCAGAGCGTCTGATTCTGGACCTTTCCTAGCAACAGGGCTCGTGGTTCAGCCTATCTCGAAATAGGTCACACAAGGTTTTTTTTCCTGCCTTCACCCAGTTGCCCTTCTTCCCTCGACACACACCGACACACACTCATTCATGCACACGTCTTCCCGTGTGTGTGTGTGTGTGTGTGTGTGTGTGTGTGTGTGTGTGTGTGTGTGAGCATGCAGCAGAGTGATGAGAGATCCCCACCTGCTGTGATGTGGAGTCTAATTCGAACATGTGGGCGCCTCTGATCTCAGATGGTCGAGCGTTGCCTTTTTTTGTGTGTGTGTGTGTGTGTGTGTGTGTGTGTGTGTGTGCGCAGAGATAATCCCGTCATCTGGTCCTCAGACTGTCTGTTTTCAGTGTGACCTATTTGGAAGGAAATGGTGATTAAGGTCTGAATGGGAGCCGAGCACGTAAACAGCAGGACGACAACATCATGAATCATGGAGGGGGGGGGGGGGGGGGGTCAGAGAGGTGAAATAGGCATCCTGCCATCTAATGACATCAGGAATGTCCGACTTTAAGCTCGAGCTGTGATCATAGAAATCTGATCCTGAACCTGCACTAATGATTGATATTATCGTACAATATTATTCTACTGGAAAGAATCAAAGTACTGAACCTTTGTCAACCTTAGATTGGAGTTCTGCACAAGAGGAGTGCGGGGGCGGCTGTGGTCGAGGCAGTCGTCTCTCAACTGGAAGATCTGGGTTCGACCCCCAGCTCCTGCAGCCACATGTCTGATGTGACACAGTCCTTTAAATTTGATACCTGAAGCACATTTTGCAGAAACAGGACGGCAATTTTTTTGGCATTGCTGTTTTATTGTTGGTTTTTACTTCATTCAATCAAATGAGTTTCTTTTCCTCCTCCGCTCAACAAAACCAGAGTTTGTCACCTTCAAGGACCGGACAAACTCTCACAGATGTTTTGACTCTTCGATCGTCAGGAAGGATCACAAACCGCACGACTCAGAAAACACGCTAAACAACACTTTAAACAGCTGCTCAGTGAAGACGGCAGCTCTACTGCTGTTGTGTACTCAAACCAAAACAAACATGCACGCCATCCAGATGTTTGCACTGATCGTATGCAGCAACAACATTATGAGAAGGAGATGGAGAGTTGAACAGAGGCTTCGTGACTGTTTCTGTAGTCCAACAGTTCCATGGACAGAGTGAGACCTCTACCCTCTTGTGGATCTCTGTTTGACAGATCCTGGAGTACCTGAACACTCTGTTGTTGAACATGCTACACACAGGCTGAAACACACACACACACACACATACACAAAAAAAATAAATATATATGTATATATTTTTTTTATATTTACTTTTAGGCTTTTTGTGCCTTTATTGTAGAGATAGGATAGTGGATTGAGTCGGAAATCAGTGGAAGAAGTCATTTAAGGATACTTTTTCCGATAGAAAAGGACAGCTGTCATTAAAAGTAACACATGAACACCAAGTTTCCTTCAAGTGTTTGTGTCTGTGTGTCAATTTCCAGATTTGGTCCGCACTGTGACATGAACCAGCGACCCGCAGACTGAGCTACTGCCGCCCCCATTTCATTTAATTCATGTCACATGTATAATTAAAGGTTATCAACCTCTATTTTTTTTTAACCAGGGTGTTCAGTATTTGGATGAATTAGCACATAAATATGAAATGTAACCCTAACCCCGTGTGTGATACATTCTTAATCAACATTGCCGTCCTTGTTATTGTCAGATTGGACTCTGCATTGGGACAGACACAGTGTGAAAGGGGGTCAGATGTGAACTGGGATACCCTTCTATAGGTCATTAAAAAGATCCTGAGTGCACATCACTGTACAGATGTGAGTTTGATACTGTGTGCACACTCAGCCTCTTCACAGAGAGCTTTCTTGCTCAACCATTCATGACCCGACACAGGGGAAAAAATATCTCTGCTGCACGATGTTTGGAGCGTTTAACTTCTGAAGTCTGAGTCCGTCGTCAGCAGGGAGTCACAGGATCAGACTTATAAATACTGAAGTTCAGACTGTGTGTGTGTGTGTGTGTGTGTGTGTGTGTGTGTGCGTGTGTGCGTGTGTGTGAGTCACAGGTTGTGTCTCGATCTCAAATACTCTTATATTTGATATACCTACAGGGAAGTGATGGAAGTCGTTTACTTCAGTTAAAGTGGAAAATGTGTAAAAATACACATCCTGAATTCAACATCCTGCTTCAGCTAAAGTACAGAATTATTATCTGCAATATGCTGCTGCTGGATCTTACGTAGACACACAGGAGGTTTTTGTTCATAAAATGTTTTTCTACAACAGCAGTTAGCGCGTGCTAGCCAACAAGCACATGCAGCACCTCCGACTGTTGGCTGAAGAAACTTCATCAATCCCGGCAGTACAGTTTCCCTTGTGGTTTGTGTGAGAATCTATAAGCTGTAGAAATCACATTTCTGTTTCATTTTTATCTTCATATTGGCTCGTGTGTGTGTGTGTACAGTAGTTGGTTGTGAGGTGCGCACACTGACACTACAGAGGATGATTGCAATGGCTGCTGGGTAACACAATCTTCATACATTTTAAAATCTGATCAGAGTTGTTTGTACGGATCATCTCCGACCATCTGTTCTCAGGAGATTTATTTTGAGCCAGACGTTGCTTAGTGAATTTACTTTTTCCCACAGAAGATTAAAAAAAACAAAAAAACAATCCTGAATTTGGTCTTTGTAAAACTCGTCCTCTTCAGATTTCTCGTCTCCAGACCGAGCTCAAGTCTCAGTTTGCAGCTGTCGTGTCGAATAACTTGATCTGGATTTCATAAGGGGAACAAAAGAGAAATGTAGTGCACTTAATAACATGCTTCCTGTCTCTCCGTTTTCATGCCATCTCTGCCAACTTGAAATGTGCAAATATGCGTCGTCCTCAAAGTGTGAAGGCTCGCTAATTGGCAGAGCTAAAGATACCCGGGCTGATTCCAATCTGCTGTAGTCACTTGCAGTCTGGTGACGGCTGGCGTCCTCACAGGAACTAAACGATGAACTGTTTACTTCAGTAAAGACCTGCGTTTGTTCGTCAGCTCGTTTTATGATTCATGGTCTAGTTCTGGTCCGTCCTGCCAAAATCAAAGAAGAAAACACAATCTGTTCCTCGTCCTGGCTTGTTAAACCACGTTCAAACTGTGTCTCTGCATTCCAGGTTGAAACCACCGCCATTATCTAGAGGATATTTGATGTGCGCCAAAAAATTTGCTCAAGGTGTGCAGGCCATGCCAGGAAATAAGATTAAAAAAAACAGCCAGTGGTTAAAGAGCGCTGAGCAAGAAGGGAATGAAGTTTGCAAAGGTTTGAGAAATGATTCCCTCAGGAGATGAAAACTGAAGAAATGTTGACACACAACTGGAGTTATGTCATGATTACTGCAGCAGAGTAGTTTTAAAGGGGACATATTATGAAAAATCCACTTCTACAGTGTTTTTGAACATATATTTGGGTAACCTGAGTTTCTACTGACTCACAAAATGTGAAATAAACCCATCCAGTCCTTTGTTTGTGGTCTGCATAAGTCTTACAACACAAAGGAAAATGCTCCGTTCCTAATGTGCTCTCCTTGTGATGTCACAGTGGGATTCTGGTAAAAAAAAAATCCCCTCCCCTCCCCTGGTATCTCCACCCATGGACTCCACCCCCAGCCTAGAGGAAAACTTATGAGCAGGTCTGCCATTTTTATTCTCCCTACAGAGGAGTGATGTCTACCGGGAAAACTCAGGGGGAGCTCATTGCATTTAAAGAGACACACACACCAAAACGGAGCGTTCTGAGAGAGCTGGTTTATACAGGGTCACAAACCTCCTCTGGTGCTTGATTCATGTTATATTTTGACCAAAGCACAGCACAGATGTTTCATTTA